TCGGCTCTCCGCCTCCGCCAGGCCCCTTCCTCCTTGGAGGAGCTGGAGTGTTCGTCCCGCCTCCTCCAGGTCGCCTCCAAGACGTGGAGAAACGGATTCTCACTCCCGCGGGCCCGGGGTGGGTGACCCTGGTGCAGCCACGGAGCATGCGCGAGCCCGGTGCTGGCGGCGAGGGGACGCGGATGGCTTAGTCCAGGATCAGACGGGTCCGGGGCGTCCTCAGGCTTGGAGCCGGGACCCGGCTGGGAAGAAGCTGGGGAAGAGTGGGCACAGGGCGGCGGGAGAGGCCCCTCGGCCCCCGGGGCATCGCCGGATTCGGTGCACCGATTTCTGTCCGGTGGTAACGCCGGGCTGGGGCCTTGCACCCTCAGTTACGGCCTCACCTCATGTTTGTTGCGCCTTTATTCCCTGGTTTCTCCAACATTTATTGAGCAGTTGCAGTACTGGTACTTGGCAAGTGCTTTGCTGCGTGCTGGGGAGCTGCAGAGACGATTCTCCTGTTCCGGCATGGGCTCTACAGAGTTAGGGACCAGTGACCTACAGAAAACAGCTGTTTTAACGATCTCCAGCCGGAATCAGTGTCATTTTTACCAAATGAAAACAAAAATAATCTTGCTCTGGTGAAGGGGGGCCGCGCCGAAGGAAGCAGTATTTATTTGCCTAATAGGAAAAGTGTGCCAAAATGTGGGTTCTGAATAGTTAATTGGCGTTTTCAATCCAAGGTCTATATACAGAAATTTTAGCAAGTTGTAGTACTTCTGATATCTTCTATTTTATACCAACAGATTAGGTATTCAAAGCTGATTTGTTTGTTTAAAAAAATAGAAATTACTATATACTTTTATACATGAAAAGTTGTTGACTGTATTAAATAAGTATGAATATATACAATACTGTTGTGGACAAAGAATGTCGCCTGCCATTCCAGTAAATAACGAATTTTGCCCGCCATCAAGCCATAATAAGAAATTACCAAAACAAAAAAAAAGTCTCCAGCTAAATATTTGCCCAGGTATCATACTGGCATCTTAAAGTACAGAAGGGAGGTACCACATTAAGCGAATTTACATCTTTCAGCCTCCTTGTCCTGATCTTGAAGTCTTACTGCAAATCTGGATACCTGGTTCACGTTTTCTGTGACATCTTCTAAGTCTCGTTAGCTGCCTAGCATCCAGCATCCAGCTCAAGCTTCTGTATTCAGTTCAATGATTTGTATTAAACTCGATATTGACTTCCACTTCGATATCTCAAGACCCATAAACACAATCTCTTGACTTTCCTGCCCTCAACTCCCTCCTTGGTTCTTTTCAGCGATTTCTTTGATTCTTTTCTCCCTGATTCTAGCTCGACAGACCTTGACATCTACATTTCCCTCCTCAGCTTGCTTCTTTCCTACTCAGGCTAAAGCCTGCTTGGACACTCAGCATGGTCAACATCTTTGCTTATCCTACCACTATATCTACTCTTCAAATTCACAACCCTGGATCCAGCCTGTGGTGCATCTTCCTGGATGTTGTGACTGGCTGGAAACAGATAGAACAAACATATTCAGTGAACACTGAGGAGGCTGCGTTCTGTTGGAGAATGGCCCACAAATGTGTAGACTGATGCAGCAATAAATTTCTGGTTTTTGTATCAGTCTGGGCTCTCAATGACTCCACCTCCCATTCTTTCAGTCAGTAACTCGATCTACAAACTGATGGGAGTCTGGAAATTGGGTACTCTCCATTAGTCATTCAACTGGGATTTCTGCTTACCTGTCTTACACTTTCTCTGATTTTATAGATTAAGCCATACAGTGGTGGAGGATTGGCCATCTGTTTTATTTCTGGGGACTTTATTTTTATTTTGGAGGGCGAGGTGATTAGATTGATTGATTGATTGATTCTCTGGGAAGGTACTGGGGATTGAACCCAGGACCTTGTGCGTGCTAAGCATGCACTCTACCACTTGAGCTATACCCTCCCCACTATTTGCAGGAACTTTATGAATCAATTAGCCACTGCCACAGACCCTGAGAGCCAGAATTCTCTGAAGGCCACACAGTCCCTGTGATCATTTATGCTAATTCTGCTTACTTTGCTGGTCAAGGGCTGTCACCTGACCTCTGTCACACCAGGAGCCCATTATTCCTGTTGAAAGCAGGACACCCAAATTCTGGCAGCATCTCCCACCTGCATCTCTGGTCCACAGAGGGCAGTCAGCACAGCGATTTTTATGGAGGCTGGGACTCCCTTGAGTAATGCATTTTTGGGCCTCCTGGGTTGTGCACTAGGAGTTGTGAGCAGACGCCACATAATCAGGTAACTCCAACATTCTCCTCTCCGTAAGACATCATATTCTGTTCTCTAACACATGCTAGGAAAATTCCAGCATCTCTATCTAGGCCATCTGTGAACCAGGCTTCAATCAGCCATAGAAGCAAACTCTTAAAAGAGCCATTTGGTACCTAATAGCCACTTCAGGACCAACGCAAAAGAGGAATCTGCAGTCATTGTAACAGAATCGAAAGAATTCAACATGTCTGTGGTGGTGGGAGATGCTGTCTGTAGCCTCCGCCAAGGCCTATTGAAGCAAAACAGGGCTGTTTGACAAGCAGTTCCTAGATTGCTAAATTTGGTCCTCTTTGATTTTATAATTTGTCCTATTATTACTGCCCTATTGTTCATTGTAAAGATCTTGTGGCTGTGAGTTGACAGAATCCTGCAATTCCTTTGGAATATATGTTTTCTCTTCCTGGAGTGGGTTTTGTAATTCATTTCTTTAGACCATAGAGTAATTTCTTTTCCTTTGGGGGAAAAAAATGTTTTACTTGGAAATAATTTCAAACTTACAGATAAGTGACCAGAATTAAAAATAGTATAAAAATTATCAATATACCTTTCAGGGGTTAAACTGTGTCCCCCCAAAACAGATTCTTATTTTTGTGAGAGAGGCTTGTTTTGTTTTTAGGGTTCTGAATACGCTGACTGAACATTAGAGAAACTTTGGGAAGATTCTGGAAACACTGTGTTTGTGGTGTTCTGAATCTTGTAGTTGAATTTTCATTACAATCTGATGAGTCACGTCAAGTCTATCCATCATAGGCTAGTAGGTTCTTGCTACAATTATTGCCTAAAAATTATCTCCGTTAAAGTGATGGAAACTGGCAACCATTTTATTTTGCTCACCAAAGTGTGAGTCAGAAATTCAAGACGTTTCTGGCTTAGAAGCTCTCCCTTGGGACCTCTCATGTGACTGTAATCAGAGGTTGGCGGAAGCTGCTGTCACCTGAAGACACAACTGGGCTCGATGTCCCAGACGATTGAGTCTCAGGGTGGTATTTAATGCTGTCTGTGAGCTGGTCATTCAGCCACAGCTGGTGACCGATGGCCTGCATGGGACCTCTCAGGATGGCGGTTTTACGACAGTTGGATTTCTTGCATGGTGGCTGACTTCCTCCAGACGGAGAATTCCAAGAGAAGTAGGTGTCAGCTACATGGGATTTGACGGCTCAGCCTCGGAAGTCTTATGGCATCACTTCTGCCACACTCTATTTGTGGAAGCAGTTATAAGCCTGAGAAGACACGGGAGAGAGGGACAGAGACCCTAACGCTTGATGAGAAGACTGTCAAAGACCAAAACAGATATGTTGAAGTCTTAGCCCCAGTACCACAGAATGTAACTTTATTTGAAGATAGGGTCTTTATAAAGACAATGAAGTCTTCCACTTAAGGTCAGTAGCTTGGGCCCTAATCCAACATGCTTGGTGTCCCAGTGCAGTGGGGAGGTGTGGACGCAGAGGCGCACACACAGCGAGCACACCACGTGAACATGAAGGCAGAGGTGGGCTGAAGTGTCTACAAGTCAAGAAACACAGTTGCATTCTGATTTGAACCAGTGCCTTGAGCTGAAAGTTCAAGAAACCAAGTTTACCTTTTTCAGAGCTGCCAATCTACTTGCTATTGTGACAGTCATCAAGTGGTTTTTCAAGTCTTTCCCCTCTATACTCCATCCCATGCCATGGCGGGCCTTACTTTGAGTGCTCCTGATGCCAGGGCGTGCTCTGGGTTTCCAGGGTTCCATGTCCCTCTGGTAGAGCACGTGTGGGAACCCCAGAATTCCATCCCAACAGTCTATTTTCTGAAATTACTCTTTAGACCATTTACTCTCTTGGGCAGGGTCCCAAGAGAAAGAAAACACACTCAAATGGATTTCTGAAAGGTCTAATGAAAGGGTTATTTACAGCAGCATGGACAGAGTTTAAGAGAACCCTCAGGGGATGTTGAGGGACACAGGAACTGGTTGGGGTTCATTGATTTTCCCTTCCATGGAGTTCTGTTTGATTAACTTCGGAATTTTGATGAAAATTTCTTCAAATAGTATTTCCACATCATTTTCCATCTCCTTCCTTCTGAAACTCTAACTACACATGTTAGACGGAGTACACTGTCCCACAGGTCATTGAGATTTTATTCTTTTTCTCCCTTCTAATATTTGACTCTTTGTGTTTTAGTTTAATGATTTATTTTGAGCTGTCTTCAAGTTTATTAATCCTCTCTTCTGTTGTGTTCGGCCTTCAGTTAATTTCGTCCAGTGAATGTCTGATTCCAGTTCTTGGCTTTTTTTTCCTTCAGTTTTAGAGTTTCCATTTGGAAATTATATACATAAATTTTTATAACTCTCCTAAAAATTCCTTTTCATTTTTTCCGTTATCTCCATCCTTAATTCCAGACTCTTTTACATGTTATTATTTTTGTGTTTGAAGCATCTGTGTTGTATGTTTCTATTGACAGTTTCTACTTTT